AATGGTATTACCAGTGATCCTGGTGCTCTTTGGAAAAGGGTTTACATAATGGAATCGCGGAGTTGGCAGCTTCTGTGATTGCTGTTTTGAAGTCTTCTTCTAGTTTATCAAGAGTTTTGTCACCAATTTGATAGGAAGAAGCCCATATTTCAATGAGTTTTTGGAATCTACCCCAGTTTGCTTTGTGCGTATTCCATTTTGGTTGGTAAGGTGGGGAGTTCATCCTAGGTATTTCTATAGTAATGATTAAGGCTGAATGGTCGCTGTTTAGGTGCTCGTGAAAGGAGGAGTTTGCATTAGAAGCTAGATAATCATTAGTGAAGGTTAAATCTAGGACTCCTCCTCTTATGTGGGTAGCCTTAGTCTTATTTAGAATTTGTATATGGAGGCTATTGGAGAGATGATGTTCTATATGTATTCCTGGAGGATCTTTCAGAAGTGGTCGATAGGATGTTGGGTCATTGAAAAGAGGATGGTGAGCATTAAAATCTCCTCCAAGGAGGATGGGACTATTTTCTGCTATACTGAAAAGTTCATCTAATTCCAGAATACAATTGTTTCTAGGGGGGGGGACGGTAGCAATTGTAAATATCTATGATTTCTTCCTGTAAATGAATTGATATAGCTAAAGATTCTATATTGTGGCCTAGGGTTGCTGGTTGTTTAGTTTTATGGCTAGGTATGGAGTTTTTAACCAGTGTCATCAGCCCTCTGGGACCTCTCCTAGAATAGGAAGTTGTATAGATTTGATATCCTGGGAATTTTATATTAATTCCTTCGTAAATGGTTTCTTGTAGAATTGCAATGTCAATCTGATCCCTGTAAAGGGAGTCCTTAAGAAAAGGTAGGTGATTCCTTAATCCACCTATGTTCCATTGCAATATTTTAATTGGTTTGTTCTTAGTATCCATAGTCGTTTTTGTTATTGTTCTTAGTTCTGTTGTTTGTAGGAGAAGGAATTTCTATTCTTGGAGGAGAAGTTTCGGCTAAGCTTTCATTTTGACTACTGTGTGCAAATATTTCTAGATTAGGATGTTTTCTTTTTAGCTGTTCCAGAGGTTCCTCTGTAAATTCTACTACATCAACCTCTGAGAGAGAGAATGATGCTTCCGGTGAGGAAGGATTTAAATCTAAGGAGGTTACTTGGGTCTTGATAATGTTTGGTAGATTTGTCATTATCGAATTAAAATTGCTGATCAGTTGGACCAAACGATTAATCATTTGGTTGGCTTGTTCCATTATTCGTTCTAATGAGGAAGTAAGAGTATCAATATTCTTTGAGTAGGTTTCTGAGGGAGGTGCAACGGAAGGAGTACTCTGTGAATCTGAAGGTCTTTCTTGGATGGGGTGTATTGTCTCTGTCGAAGAATTTGTGACTACTTTTGAGTATAGTCTATTTGAGTTTGTAATTTTCTTTGTAAAATTCTTCGACAGAGACAATACACCCCATCAAAGAAAGACCTTCAGATTCACAGAGTACTCCTTCCGTTGCACCTCCCTCAGAAACCTACTCAAAGAATATTGATACTCTTACTTCCTCATTAGAACGAATAATGGAACAAGCCAACCAAATGATTAATCGTTTGGTCCAATTGATCAGCAATTTTAATTCGATAATGACAAATCTACCAAACATTATCAACCCAAGTACCCTCCTTAGATTTAAATCCTTCCTCACCAGAAGCATCATTCTCTCTCTCAGAGGTTGATGTAGTAGAATTCACAGAGGAACCTCTGGAACAGCTAAAAAGAAAACATCCTAATCTAGAAATATTTGCACACAGTAGTCAAAATGAAAGCTTAGCAGAAACTTCTCCTCCAAGAATAGAAATTCCTTCTCCTACAAACAACAGAACTAAGAACAATAACAAAAACGACTATGGATACTAAGAACAAACCAATTAAAATATTGCAATGGAACATAGGTGGATTAAGGAATCACCTACCTTTTCTTAAGGACTCCCTTTACAGGGATCAGATTGACATTGCAATTCTACAAGAAACCATTTACGAAGGAATTAATATAAAATTCCCAGGATATCAAATCTATATAAATTCTAGGAGAGGTCCCAGAGGGCTGATGACACTGGTTAAAAACTCCATACCTAGCCATATAACTAAACAACCAGCAACCCTAGGCCACAATATAGAATCTTTAGCTATATCAATTCATTTACAGGAAGAAATCATAGATATTTACAATTGCTACCGTCCCCCTAGAAACAATTGTATTCTGGAATTAGATGAACTTTTCAGTATAGCAGAAAATAGTCCCATCCTCCTTGGAGGAGATTTTAATGCTCACCATCCTCTTTTCAATGACCCAACATCCTATCGACCACTTCTGAAAGATCCTCCAGGAATACATATAGAACATCATCTCTCCAATAGCCTCCATATACAAATTCTAAATAAGACTAAGGCTACCCACATAAGAGGAGGAGTCCTAGATTTAACCTTCACTAATGATTATCTAGCTTCTAATGCAAACTCCTCCTTTCACGAGCACCTAAACAGCGACCATTCAGCCTTAATCATTACTATAGAAATACCTAGGATGAACTCCCCACCTTACCAACCAAAATGGAATACGCACAAAGCAAACTGGGGTAGATTCCAAAAACTCATTGAAATATGGGCTTCTTCCTATCAAATTGGTGACAAAACTCTTGATAAACTAGAAGAAGACTTCAAAACAGCAATCACAGAAGCTGCCAACTCCGCGATACCATTATGTAAACCCTTTTCCAAAGAGCACCAGGATCACTGGTATTACAGTAACAGAGTCGCTGAACTACATCACAGAGTGAATATAACTAAGAAAAACTTATCAAAGTTCCCCTCCAAGGGTAATCTCGACTTGTATCGAGACACCTTAAGACACGTAAAAAGAGAGCTATGGGATATACGAACTGAAAAATGGCTTGCCTGGTGCGAAACTTTAAATTCCCACACAAAGATTAAAGATATTTGGAGCCATCTCCGCAAAGCCA